TTTTTCTTTATTTTATAATGCGACACATTTTAATGAAGTTCTTAAGTAATCGTAATTATTAATAATTATCGTGATATTTTGGTTTAAATTAGTTCAACTAAGCATAAGAAATAAAAATATATCGAGATATACCAATTTTTATAGGAACATGTAAACAGGTAATTAAGACACTTTCCTATCAGGAGTGACCCTGATCGGGGGGGGGGGTGTCAGTCCCCCGGAGGCGAGATTTGCGATATTAGCGAGTTTGCTCAAAGGACCAGAGGGGGGTAGTCAAAATCTCCTCACGACTAATGATAAAACGAATAAGCAAAAGCGACTCACCGTTCGGTCGGCCGTGCAGGAAGCAAGCAGAACAGCAGGCAGGCGGCCGCAAGCAAGCAAGGCAGCAGGCAGGTAAAGCAAGGCAGCAAGCAAAGCGAGGCAGCAAACTGTGAGCAAGGCAGCAAGCAAAGCGAGGCAGCAGGCAGGTAAAGCAAGGCAGCAAGCAAAGCGAGGCAGCAAGCCGTGAGCAAGGCAGCAAGCAAAGCGAGGCAGCAAGCAGGAAAGTAAGAGAGCAGGAGAAATTCACACTCCAGGAGAATCGAGTGGCTTTCCGGAAGTTCAAGTCGGCACGTGTCGTAGATGTGTACCCCGAGACCTCTTAGCGATGAGTGCCTTACGACGGTGTGACGATGAGTGTGTGTGCGCCGTAAGATGGCTTGACTGTGGGTGCCCGCGGTTCTGGAAAATGTCGCGGGCGAGTAGGTGTTCCCTTTTTCGGGAGTAGTGGTGCCGTCGGTGGGTGGGTGATGGCAGCACCAATAGGTGAGTTGCTTGTTTTCGACCGCGATCCACCGACGTTTTGCGCGATAAAGGACAAAAACGATAACTAAACTAATGATAATTTTAACGATTATTTACAACGACTATATACAAGGCGATACGCCCACCAAAATACGACGTATTTTCTACGCTTGAGCAGGTCCCTCTGGCGAATTGTCCATCGGCAGAGGGCACAACTTCACCAGAGGGCAAGTGAGGGTGCCATCCGCTGTCCTCACCGTCGCGACCCGAGAGACGCCGTCACGGCCCGGGTGTAATTCTATGATCCGGCCTCGTCTCCACTGTAAGGGAGGAGCGTTCTTGTTTTTTAACAGGACCAACGTGTTTTTTTTACCGCGGGCGCCGATTTTAATCACTTTGGTCGTTGCTGGAGGGTGTGCAGGCCATCGTTCGTCATGCCACCGCTTCCAGAACTGTTGGTGCATGTGCTGCACCAGTTTCCATCGATCGAGCCTACTTATCGGCACCGGTTCTAGGTCCGGATATGGGACGGCTACGAGGGGTTCCAAAGTGAGGAAGTGCCCTGGGGAGAGCACCCCGATGTCGTTAGGATCGGAGCTAGTGGGGCATAGGGGCCTAAAGTTCAGGATGGCTTCGACTTGTGTTATGAATGTGCCAAGCTTCTCCACGGTGAGGAACTGCGCTCCTATGACGCGTTTCAAATGAGTCTTCATGGACTTGACCCCCGCTTCCCAGAGACCACCGAAGTGTGGCGCCGAGGGGAAGTTAAACGTCCACTGAATTCTTTCTCTCTCTGAGGCGACCTGCATGCAGTGAACGAGCTCTCGATAAGCTCCAAAAAAATTAGTGCCGCAGTCGCTGTATATCCGCAAGCAGCGGCCGCGCCTAGCGATGAAACGTCTCAGAGCTGACAGAAACGATTCGGTAGATAACAAAAATGCGAGTTCTAGGTGAACTGCCTTTGTGGCGAAGCAAACAAAAAGGCACACATAGGCCTTTTAACGAATGAACGGGGTTGCCCCGCGAAAACAACGATTATAAACCGGAAATGGCCCAGCGTAGTCGGCTCCGGCAATTGAAAAGGGCTTGACCTGACGTACTCGATCCAATGGTAGATCCGCCATGGGCGGTTGCATAGTACGTGAATTCGCCTGGAAGCATTGGTAGCAACGTGACAAACAACGTTTAATGGCCTGATTGGCTCCCAGAATCCAGAAGTTTTGCGACAGTAAATAATGTAATGCTCGACGTCCCGGATGCAAGTGTAGGCGGTAGGTGCGCTCTACTATAAGTTCCGTGAGTCGGTGTTTGTTAAGGTGCATTTTCATATGCAGCATGCTGCAGCAGCAAATCAGTCACGTGCCCAAAATTTACTAGAGCGTACTTGCTGCTCATGAAAAGGTGCAGCAGCAGCACAACAGCACGACATTAAATTATAACCTAAAAATAATATTGTGGTGAGTTGTTAGTGTATTTAAATTTATAAATAAGTGGCATACGATATATATGATATACAATCAAATTAAAGAAAAGCCTAAGGTTAGGATCTTGGTTGCCTAATAATTGTTTATCAATTTAATTATGAGATGGTACTGTTCTAGCTTTAGTGAGGTTACGTTTCAACACAGAAAGTAACGGCGCGTGGTTCGCTGGGGCGATGAATTGTACATAAATTCACACGAATAATATTATTAGGCAATCAAGATCTAGTTCTGACCGTTTATAAATTTTTCCTTAATTTAACATAATTTTTACAGTTTTATTTGGTTTAATAATGTCGTACAATCAAAGATTGTATCAATGGTACAAAGAATGTGAGAAAGCGGTTCAAGAACATAATGTTGAAACTTGGAGGAGACAAAAAATTGCCATTGCACTAGCAACTAGTGCAATTGTAGCTTGGGTCACTGAAACTTCAAAAGCGAAGCGGCATTATAAAAAGAAACGGACTTGGGTAACTGAATTGTTTCAACAACGTCGACATTATGGATTTTATCATACTGCTTTACCCATATTAAAATTGGAAGATTTGCGTTTTCAAAATTATTTCCGAATGACTACTATCAATTTGAAGAGTTATTGCAATTAATAGGTCCAAGAATTTCTCGACAGTGTGTCATTCGTGAACCAATTGGAGCAGAACAACGATTATTAATATGCTTAAGGTTTGAAATTTTATTAAAATGTAAAACAATTTTTTTTAAATTTAGCACATGTTTTATTAAAAAGTATTTCACTAAAAAGTCATTTTATTTCTTATTATAGATATTTAGCGAGTGGAGATAGTATGACATCAATGTCGTACCACTATCTTGTTAGTTTGACATCAGTATCTCAAATTATTGCCGAAACGTGTGAAATTTTATGGGAAATATTATCACTACTTGTATTGGTACAATGTAATCAGTTAGACTGGAAAGCAATTGCTCATGATTTCGATGAAAAATGGCAGTTTCCACATTGTATTGGAGCTTCAGATGGAAAGCATGTCGTTATACAGGTATCAAGTATGATATGCACTTTTTTCATGGAAGTGTGAACACTGCATATATTTGCCAAAATTTCACTAAAATGTTTATTTGTTTATATTGTCTAGAGTCCTGAACATTCCGGTTCGATGTATTACAACTATAAAAAAAACCCACAGCATTGTATTATTAACGATGTGTGATGCTAACTATCTCTTCACTTTAGTTGATATTGGAGCTTTTGGCCGTCAGAGCGATGGTGGTATTTTTAAGAATTCTCGAATGGGTCAACGATTTGCACAAGGAAACATGCATGTTCCATGTGCAGATGAAATTTATGGAGGAAGTTCCAATTATCCGTATGTGATTGTTGAAGATTCCATTGAGATTGTTGAAGATTCCATTTCCATTGAGTTCATATTTAATGCGACCATATCCTGGTAGAGAGAAACTATCAACTGAAAAAAAGTCTTCAATTATCGACTATCCCGAGCAAGAAGAATGATCGAGAATACATTCGAAATACTTGCAGCTCAATGGCGAATTTATAGAAAAAGTACAATTGCAAAAGTCAATACTGTTGAAAAAATGGTAAAAGCAACAGTTGTTTTGCATAACTGGCTTCGTAAGCAAGATCTAACAAGAAGAGGAACATTTATAACTCCAAACATGGTCGATAGAGAAATAGATAATGGATCAATTATACCAGGTGCTTGAAGAAATATGGTTGAAACAAATAATTCTGCTTTACAAAGTATTGCTGCTAGTTCCAATCATACGTGTTCAAGAGTGGCTGCAAATATTCGAAATAAATTTACAGATTATTTTAATGAAGAAGCCACCGTCCCATGGCAATTTGTACAAATTTATCAGTAAGAAATGACTCAAAAAGCAATAGAATTTGAAATTTATTTTTCTATGTATTTGAAAAATTAATAAATGTATGTTTTTGATAAATTAACACCTAAATATATTATGAAGTTTTATAAGTAATATGAACAATAAAAAATAGCATTTTTTGAACTGTTTGATATAAAAACACAATGTATTAAAAACTTATTTATTTTAATGTTTATAATAAACACCATATTTCTCTAAATGTAAATTAAATAAATTACATTTGGTTTAGCCTTTAACATTATACAATTGCATGTATCACAAATTCGACTATAAGTAATATGTAAATAAAAATAATATATTTCTCAAAACATAATATTTTAAATATTTTTAAACTTAATGTTTAGATTTTTTGAACGCTCAGTCTTGTTTTATTATTAAAATGCAAAAGCGTATAAAAATTTGCACAGGTCTGCATTCCATAAATAAAAGTTATCGAAACGAATGAATATATTGAATGTATTAAAAACTCAATTATTTTAATGTTTATAATAAACACCGTATTCCTAATTTTTAATTAAAACAAATTACATTCAGTTTAGTCTTTAACATCATTGCATGTATCACAAATTAGATTATAAGTAAATATTTAACTTATAAAATAGTAGATGGTTCGATGCATCTACTACTTTTCGAAGTTAATTTTTTAATTTTTTGAACGTTTAGTTTATTTTTATTATCAGAATGCAAAACCGTGTAACAATTTATTGCATAATTGAAAAAGTTATTGAAACAACTAAATATTTGAAATTTTATCATTTACGAATGAAAATATTTGGAATATCAAAGTTCTCCTTTCTCGTTCCGGGAGTCTTCGCAATTGCGCCGAGACTATAGTCATCAATCTATCTACCTCATCCTGTTTGTTGTCTGGAAGTGGTAACGTTGGCAATTGCACATTAGGAATTGCGCTAATTGCAGTAATTGCATCTGCAATTTTATCGAGTGCAGAGGTTGACGCTGTGCCACCCGTCGACACGGTCGCTAAAAAATAAAGAAATAAGTAAATAATACATTTAAAATATATAACAAATAAATAATACATTCATTTTGAGCATTTTAATATAAATATACATTAAAAACAAAAAATGCTGTTCCATTTTGTCGTCTTTTTGGAATGGGTGGTATATTTTCATTTTCGTCACTAAGAAGATTATCACTTGTTCTGTAATTGTAATATTTATGTTTATATAGTTTAAATATATGATAAACTTAATATAATAGCACAATACAATTAGTTTTAGATAATGTAGTATATACTTTTTTCTATAAATTGTATCACGCAAAAAATCCATTCTATCGAAATGCTTCCACTTTCGCTTTGAAGTAGGACGTGCTGCTCTACTTGGCAATTTCTCCTTGGCTTGCTCACGAGAGTAACTATCTCGTAGCGTCTTCCATTTTTTGGCGGCTTGTTTCGGGTCTAAACGCCCTATAAGGATACGTAAAACATTTGAGTAAAAAACTATTTTAATCACAAGGATGATTACACACACACACACACACACATACACGCGCGCACACGCACGCACACACACGCACACGCACGCACACGCACACACACGCACGCACA